CACCCAAGCCTGGGCCAGTGCGACCCTGGCCCTGCAGCATCCTGCGAGACTCGGCGCTCTGGCTGACCCCCGTTTGCGTTGACCCCCGTCTCTCGAGCCCCGACCCCTTGCGCCCGACCCGATCCTGGTGTTATGTCGGGCCTGTCCCCCTACAGGGGGATTTTCGACGAAAAATAGAAAATACCCCAAAAATAATCCAAAAATGCTCCAAAAATACTCCGGGGACTATTTTTTGAGTTTTTTGTTGACCTCTCTGGAGTATTTTTGGGGGTATTCTTATTTCCTCGTCGACAAATCCCCCCTGTAAGGGGACACGCCCGACTCGATCCCGGTGCGGGGGCGCGGCTGGACCTGGCCGCCTCACCGCGCCTGCTGGGCGATTGCACCGGCGTCCCTCGCCCTGTACCGCTGCAGCGCCTCGCGAGACGTGCCGGCCGCGCACCGGTCCTGCAGCTGCTCCACGCGCTCGGCGAGGTCGCCCTCGGAGAAGCGCGCGGGCTTCCCCGGGACACAGCGGCCAGCGTACCCGACGAACTCCCCGCAGCTCTGCAGGAGCAAGCAGACCTCGTCCTGGACGTCCTGGCACTCCATCCTCAGCTTCCGGGCCGACTCGGCCGAGTGCCGTATGCGCCACTGCAGCCTCTTCAGCCTCTCGTTCTGCTTCGCGGCGAGCCTCGTTATCCTGAAGCTCTCGCGCGCCTTCGCCTCGCCTGACATCATGCGAAGGCTGTGGGTAAACTCCGCGATCGAGATCTCCCCGTGGCGGCTGCGGGGCATGATGTCGTCCCAGACACTCAGCTCATCTCCATGACCTATACCCAGCTCGGCCGAGAGCATGTCGCGGAGTTCCGCACTGCAGTTCACCGCGTTGGCGTACTCCTCGTAGGAGATCATGCCGCTCCCGTCCTCGTCCATCTTCGACAGGAGGTCGCGCAACTGCCTGACAGCCTTGTCTTTCTTGGCAACCTGGTCCGCAGCCTGCAGCTCGCTGTCCTGCTCCTTGCGCGCGAAGAAGTTGTTTACGATCACTGCAACTATCAGGTTGAGCAGCGCCATCACGAGGATCATGATTGCGACCACAAAGCCGAGACCAACCCAGCCCGACTTCTTCATAAGGGGCCGCGCGACTGAATACCAGCTGTCCAAGGTGGTAACCTGGAAGAGCGTGATCATGGCCTTCGGCACGTCGCCGAAGTACTCCTCGGCCACGGGGTCGCCCGCGAACGTCGCCGACTTGTAGATGAGCTGAACAGCAAACACGGCGAACACGAAAGTCACGAATCCCAAGGTGACCCAAATCCACATCAGCGTCAGCTGAGTCTCCGTCACACCCGTTATCAGCTCCCACAACACGCGAAACGCCTTATAGGTACGCACCATGCGGACCAGGCGAATCAGGCGAATCACGCGCAGGGTCTGCAGAGCACGCACGACTGGGCTCTCGAAGCCTGCTGGCTTCAATATCCAAAGCGGGACGATACCCGTCAGGACAATGATGCAGACTTCCAAGGCATTGGCGCCCAGGAAGATCCACGTCCACCCGGCCGACGCCAGCCTCAGGACGACCTCGAGGCAGAACACCGCGGTGAACATGTGCTCCAGCACTTCGAGGTAACCTGGGGCCCTGTCGTCCAGCGAGATCGACCACCCTATGGTCACACCGTTTGCCATGATGAGCCCCCCGACAAAGGCCTCGAACCACCCCGACCTCACCATGCGGTCGGTGCGCGGCATCGGGTGCACCCAGTCGGGGTCCGTGCGCTCGCGCAACGCCAGGTTTATCTTCGCCTGCAAGGCGTGCGTGCCGAAGAGATCCGACAGTCCGCCACCGCGCCTGCAGCGACTGGTGTACTGTGATACTCTTCCAGCGGCCCATACCCCAGAGTGACGGGCACTCCTGGGCGCTTGTGCAAGGGCGCCAAGCTTCGCGCTTCGCGCTGCGCGAAAAACTTCGCGCTCTCGCGCCGCCCCCCGAGAGAGAAGAGGTGGAGTAGGAGGAGGAGGAGGAGTAGGAGGAGGAGGAGGAACCGAGCCGCGAAACGCGAATGATTTCGCGCCCTCGAAGATGCTAGAGGGCCCCAAAACGGACCAGGAGCGTCCCAAGAGCCCAAGAGCACTCCCAGACGCTTTAGGTGGCCCGAAGACGGCCCAAGAGGCTCCCAATACGCCCCAGGAGGGCACCAACAGGCAAACCACGAGGGCCTCAAGAGGCATGCATGAGTTTCTTCCCGATGGCGTTTTTAAGGATTTAGCGTCCTCGCCTTTTCGGGCACTCGAGGTTCCAAGACGTCTCAAGAGGCCCCCAAGATGGCCCCTAAATGGCCCAAGAATTTCCGACGGCCCAAGAGCGCTTCAAGACGGCCCACGAGGCCCCAAAATGATCCAAGAGGGCCCCAAAAGGAGCCCCAAACGGAGAACTCGAACTCACAAGCCCTCCGCCCCAAAACGACCCTCGAGACGACGTGGCTTGGTCTCCACTAAGGCAGGAACTCGAGCAGCTTCGCCCACGCCTCGCCCGCACACGCGTCACGCGCGACACTTGTGGCGTCGGCGGCCAGGCAGGGCACCTGCGCTGGCGGAGGGCAACCTCCAGGGGGGTGCCGTTGCAGCGACCTGTGCCACCATGCAGGAGGGGGGGGGAAAGCAGAGGACGCGGCCGACCGGCGCGGGGACGGGGCCGGCATGGCTGACCCGGGGGGGGGATGTCCAATCCAGGGAACCAATCCAGGGAAGGGGCCCTGGCGAACCTAGACCCTCCGGTCCTGGACATGCAATGCTAGCCTCGCTGTCTGCGGACGACGCGGCCGCAAGAAGGGGAGGAAGGCTGCGAGCCGCTCAGGGGGTCGGGTCACGCTCCGAGCGCGCGGCGCGGCCGGCCCCGCCTGGCGGGCCCGCGGCGGCGGCGCAGTGCAGGGGCGGGGTGCCACCGCCGAGCGGGCGAGGGTGCAGAGCGGTCCGTGTCGAGGCCTGGTGGCCGCCCTTCCCCAGGGCGGGAGCGGCCAGGGCTGCCAGCAAGGAGATGGGGTCACGCGCGACACGAGCCGAAACCGACATCGATGTTCGGGTTGGGCGGCTCCGTCCCACTTCGACGTGGCCCTTCAGTCTCCAGTGCTCCGTGGGCTGTTCCGTCCAGAAGGGCTCCGAGACGGCCCAAGATGACCCAAGATGCCCTCCAGCACGGCCAGCATGGCCTCCCAGGCGGCTGAGATGACATCAAGATGGTAAACCATTGCGCCAGGATGGCCCAAGAGGTTTCCAAGAGGTCTCCAAGACGGTCCAAGATGCCTCCAACGGGACCCCCAGGATGGCCAGCAGAATCCAGAATTCACTGTTCCCCGTAAGGTTTTAAAGTAATTTGGAATTCGCTGCTTTTCGCGCTTCCGACGGCCCAAGACGGCCCATGGACCCCGAAGATGGCCCCACGTCGGCCCAAGGGGCATCCAATGGCCCCAAGACGGTCCAAGAGGCCCCCAAGACGGCCCAGTAGATCTCCGAGACACCCAAAGGAGGCCTCATGAAGGCCCCAAGAGGCCTCATCTTCTTCCCCCTCCTCCTCCTCCTCCTCCTCCCCCTCCTCCTCCTCCTCCTCCTCCTCCTCCTCCTCCTCCTCCTGTTCCTGTTCCTGTTCCTCCTTCCTGCTCCTGTTCCTCCTCCTCCTCCTCCTCCTCCTCTTCCTCCTCCTCCTCCTCCTCCTCCTCCTGTTCCTCTTCCTCGTCTTCTTCCTCCTCCTCCTCCTCTTCTTCTTCTTCTTCTTCTTCCTCCTCCTCCTCCTCATTCCCCTCATTCCCCTCATCCATCAAGTGTTCCCCCAAGGGCTTCCACAACGGCTGGGGGACCACACGGTCAAATAGCCTGGCTAGACTCTGGCCCACCGCTTGGCCATCAGGAAAGCAGGGGGCGGTGGAGGTTTGCTGTGGGTGTTTTTGTTGAAGGGGCCCTGGGACACACAAATAAATACACACAAATAACAGGATTCCCCATATCTCTCATATTTTCTGGGTTCCTGTCCTCCCCCCACTTCCCCTAGTTTCCGGGGGATCGACGATTACTTGTGTCTGTCTGTGTTTTTCTCCCCTCCTGGAAAACAGGAGTCCCGTCAGACTCGAGCCGCCTCGCTCCTGGCCCCGCAGACCGAGAGCAGCACGCTCGCCGTCGCTCGGACGTCCATGCCCTGTGTTTTTTTTTCCGTTTCGTGCGTGGACTTTTTCGCCAAAGGATCAAGGGATGCTCCTCGATGGTCCTCGCCGACGGGAAGAGGCACGCGTCCGAGCGATGCCGGAGGGCATTGGCCGAGGACGGCGGGCCCCCCTCCCCCCACGGACACTGGAAGTGGGGGAGGAGGAGGAGGAGGAGGAGGAGGAGGAGAGGAGGAGGAGGAGGAGGAGGAGGAGGAGGAGGGAGGAGGAGGAGGAGAGGAGGAGGAGGAGGAGGAGGAGGGGAGGAGGAGGAGGAGGGGGAGGGGAGGAGGAGGAGGAGGAGAGGAGGAGGAGGGAGGAGGAGGAGGAGAGGGGAGGAGGAGGAGGAGGAGGAGGACGCCCTGGCGAACGCCTCCCCCCTGGATGCCAACCCGTGGGCGCCAGCAGCCCCCCTCGGCGCCTGCCCGAGGGCGCGGTGGCGCCCTCGGGCGGCAGCGCGGCCTCCAGAAGCGCCGCTCCCCAGAAGCGCCAGGAGGGGAAAACACACACACAGACACAAGTAATCGTCGATCCCCAGGGAAATAAGGGAAGTGGGGGGGAAGACAGGAACCCAGAAAATATGGAAAATATGGGGAATCCTGTTTTTTTTTGTGTGTGTGTGTGTGTCTGTGTCTGTGTCTGTGTCTGTGTCTGTGTCTGTGTCTGTGTGTGTATATATATATATATATATATATATATATATATATATATATATATATTTGTGTCCCAGAAGCGCCAGGAGGCCACCCACAGGCCAAAATTTCGGGCTCCGGGAGGCCCCCAGGAGGCCCAGGCAGGCGCCAGGATGCCACCAAGATCGCCCCC